CGATTGGTTGATTGAGGAATGCTTTCTAGAGTGTTGAAGTATGTATGTATGTTGGATGTGTGGTCTAGGCTAGTGAATCTTCAACTCAGGGATGCGCTTTGTGATGTCAGTTTCAACCTTCGCTAGTTGAAGGTTTAACGGCTTACCTCTGGTCATTTTGCAGCAATTTATGCTTTCGCGTCGTCTGCAATTCTTAGTAATGCTTAAGGCGTATGAAAGATTTTAAAATATAACCAACTGACAGGTGGAAAAGATTAATGAACTCAAGGAAACAAAAAAACTGATCTTTTTTTTTGAAAAAACTTCAACTTTCGAATTTCAAATGTAAAAAAATATATGGCCTTAACCCTCTTTGATTTTACAGATGAATTTTTAGTTTGACACTTTTTTGATGAAATTAACTCAATTTCAGAAAACTAGATTAATACGTTAAATTTTTTATTCTGCTGGGAAATCTTAAATCTAAATTCCACTTTCGAATCTAGAAGTCGTTCATGTTTTTTCGCGCCATTTCCTCGTTCGTATTTGGAGAAAGCAATTTCATACACCCTAATGCATTTATTAATGCATTTCAATGTAATGCACATCTGTAGTTATTAGAGCATTTTAGACTTTTCCTGAAAAAAAATACAAAAAAATCACCAAGACCTATATAAAAGTCTTCACTACGCTCTTACTCTTAAAGCTTTCGGGAATCCATTTTTCCAAATTTTATAATGTTTCCGAGAATTTTTCAGACAATTTAGGAAGATTCAAAAGAACTTGAATTAAAATGATTCAAAAATGTTAGACAACAAACAATTACATTCAAATTAGATAAAATCTCACATCACAAATAACACTCATCGTTCAATCTAAGGTGACAACCAACTTTACCACCTGAGAAAAACTCTAATATCGCAAAATATTAGTCATTATGATTGCCTCGAGACTATCATCAATATTTATCCACATCAACCAGTGTTGGTGGTATAGAAAAAATGTTCAACGAAAACAGAATTAATAATAGATCAATCAAACACTATTTCCTTTGGAAAAATTAAGCGTTCGGCCAACCAGTCTATGATATTGTTGTGAACGCAATTTTTCGTTTCTTCCCTGGCACTGGTTGGCTCGATTTCGACTCTTCTGCGGTTTTTTCAACCGAACACGATTGTTGTTCACTTTCTTCTTTTTTCGACTCTTTGCATGGCGGCAATTCCAATGTTCTAAACGACACTCTCCGCTTTTTGGAACCCTCGCTCGGCATTGGACTGTCCGGACTCGGAGTTTTCAAAATCGACTTCGGCGTCGTTGGCGCGGACGACAAATTGCTTCCGGGTGAAACCAAATTGATCTCGTTTGACTTGTCAATAAGAGGCCCCGATGATGGAACAACCTCAGGAATACTGTCGTCATCGATAAAAATTGGGTTGTTTGGGTCGCTTTGAGGGCGAGCATCTTCAGCTTTTTGGTTTTTTAGCGACTCGGCTAAAATACGACTTCCACGGGCAAACGCCGACGCTATTTGATTACTGCTTGTGTCAATATTCTTCGATTTATGAGTATTCTGTTTTTTAGAACTGGCATTTGTTTTTGATTTTGTAGGAACTAGCCTTTGCTTCATTTTCGGCGAAAATGAAACGTTCTTCGGACTAACAGCAGGTGAGTTTGTTTTCAACTCGGCCGGAGAAGCGGGCTTCAGAATAGTTTTCAAGGCCAATGGAGCCAGTTTTCCTTTTCCATTTCGAGACACAGGAGTCGAGGGCTGCGATGTATTAACTGATAATAAACCTTGTTTTTCATTTGTCGGCGTCTTGTCCAAATCAATAATTTGCTGTTGTTTATTATTCAAATGCGTTTCCATTTTACTAGGAGTGCTCGGACCATTTTCACTATGATTTGATGTTGCAATTTTAGCCTCAGCTACTAAAGGAAGATTTTTCGATTCTGGCTTCTGATTATCCAATCTTTCAATTTCGTCGTCTTCTTTCTTTTCAGAATTTTCTTCCTCCTTCAGAATTTCAGCTGAATTTGAAGTTAATAGATTTTCGTCATCCTGTGAGACTTTTGCGTCACAATTAACTATAGGAGTCGACTGAGGTGTTTGGACTGTTTGAAACGCGATTTCAGCCTCTGTCACTTTTTCACCTAACTCACTCTCTTCAAAAGTACATATCGTGGCATATCCATCACTCGAAGTAGCTACAAACATTGTTCCATCTTTACACCAAGAGCCTGAATTTAGTGAAGCATAGTGAATATTTTCCACTTTTGCGAACACTTCGAAGCGTTCTGTGTCGTAGAAAAGAACTGAGTTTTCAGTAATTACTGCAAACACCAGTCGATAGGATAAATTAAATAAATTAGGTCGCACATTCTCGGAATTTTCTGTTTCATTTCTGTACTTGAATTTGATTGGACAGAAAGAAACGCTAACGGACGGTCGTCTGCCACTAGGTAAATACAGCACCGGTTTCGATAAGTTATCTCTGCAATAAACATACGTGCAGAAAATACTCGACTCCGCGCTTATTGGGAAACTTCCTGAGGGCACGACGAAAAATTCGCCGTGGGGTGAAAAACAAATTCTGTGGAAAAATCCATCGCCTGTATCGCCAAAAAGCTTCACTGCTTTGTCGTCGAAAACAAACTTTGTGTTTCTATACGCACACCGTTTATTCGTAGCGTGGTACATACGTACTGATTTATCGTCTGCAAAAGTGGCGATAAACTTGCCCAGGGGGTCTATTGCCACGCCCTGCACGAGACCTGAAAAGATGAAAATTTATACCGATGATACAATAAATCAACTGAATAAAACTCATTTGCAATCGCTGCACTCGTTTTTCTTTTTACTTTCAAACAAAGAGACCGATAATACAATCTGAGTCTAGCTCAATTCCAATTTCAAGGTTCAAAAATAGGTCTTATGATAAATCACATATAAATAAATAAATAATTTTGAAAAAATTAGATTGACTATTATTGCAATTTTATAACCAAATTCACCTGTAAAAGCCTTTGAGATACTCGGCACGATTTTAGAAACAGACTTCACTGTTTTTTTCCTTGAGTGTTTCCCAACAAATATAAGAATGATACGTCATTTTATTCCTCTTGATTGTAGTACTTAAATAAAATTTACAAAACGTACCTTTGCTTTCGCGGAACGCATGCAGACACTGTCCAGTGGACACCTGCCACAGTCGTGCCGAGGTGTCTATGGACCCAGAGAGTAATAGGGTTCCATCACTGTTCCAGCATAGATCCTGCACTTCCTCAATGTGACCTGGAAAACAGCCAACAATGATGGAAAGTCTTCCACTTCAAATATCAAAGAAAACAAGAATAGCCGGTCGCTGTGCGAACATAGTCTTGAAAAAACAAAGAAGTTTTTTTTCAAATGAGTAGTTTTTTCTACGTGGTGTGAAAAAAGGATCTAGCGTAAGCCTATAGTTAAGGCCTAGTCGACAGTCTTCGTAAAATAAGCAAATTGGACAGAAGTTTTGGTAGAATGACTTGAAAAACAAAGTAATAAAAAAATAGGCAATTTTTTAAAAAAAACTTTGCAGCTAGAAAATGACAAGAAAAACGTAACAAAAGACGAGAAAAATTCAAAATTGATTTTCAAAATTGATTTTCCAAACTTTTTTGCAGCAAATTTTTGAATTAAAAAAATTATCAAAATGGCGCTAAAAAACTCCAGAAAAGAATTCTCAGAACTTTCTCAAAACTAAGTTTTCAGGGCTTAAATTAAGCATAATTAAGCTGTTGTATGCCTCCTAGCTCGCTTAATTTGCTCAAAAATGAAAAACAAATTACAAAATTACAAATTTCTTGTTACTGAATAATTTTTTATGTATTCGAATCACGACTGAAAGGGCTTCAATTTGATATTTCACTCAATTCATTCCAATGATTTTTTTGGTACCTAATTTTGCGTGGAAAAAAATAAACACAAGGTGAAGTTGCACTTAGCATACACAAGCAAAAATATGACCGATAACGCTACTGGGAAAAACTGAATGAGTAGAACTTAGAGTCTTCAAAATTTCTTAAGTGACGCACGCCAATTATGACGCATTAGCAGTACCATTCAATTTGAAAAAAAGAAGAAAGTTACAACTAAGATGCCTCAATATATGCCTCAGTCTACGGAGCAGTAATAACATGGTCAAATTAAATTTAAGGAAAATAATAAAAAATCTTTTTTATTTGAGTTTTTTTGTGAAAATCATCCCCCCACACGCCATTTTAAGTACAAAGTAATACATTTCGCTCTAGTAACAATCAACTATGGCAAATTAGCGTGCTTCAACCAATTTGGAACAATTTCTATGACGGATTAAATCTCCGCTTACGCGTTAATAGCGCGAAATATATCGCGCGTCAATTGTCCCAAATTGACCAAAATGGCAATGTTAAAACTCTTATAACTTTACGAAAAATGATCACAGATAAAATATCTTTGCAAATTTAAACTCAGGACAAAAATACTTTTGAATGATTTTTAAAAATCCTGTCAAAAATGGCTAGTTGAAAAGAAAGTTATCTGAAGAAAAAAACCACCCCGAGCATAAATATTCCGTTACTTTCAATACGAAAGTGGGAACAATAATAGTCTGTGTTAAAATCCTTAGCATTGGCTGTACTTAACAGCTGGTTATAGATCAAAATGATGACTTTCAAAATGAACACATTTTATCGCAACAAAATTTGCGTCGCAACAATAATTGCGACTTAAGTTGACAAAAAGAGCTAGTTCATACTACATCACAAGCATTGCTTGTGTAAATAAAAAACACATCTGAATACAAAACTCCTCCATATTTTCACTGGTCGGAACAAAACTCATGGCTTTTAAGATCTTTGAATTTCGAGAACAAGTGAAGATCTTGTTAACTATCCCCCCCCCCCCATTTCCATTTTGAGAAATTCAGCTTTGGCTGCCACATTTTCGATAGCTTAAAACAATTTTCAGAAAATATATTAATATAAAATTTTTATGTAGGTATTATATAAAATCTCACATCACAAATAACACTCATCGTTCAATCTAAGGTGACAACCAACTTTACCACCTGAGAAAAACTCTAATATCGCAAAATATTAGTCATTATGATTGCCTCGAGACTATCATCAATATTTATCCACATCAACCAGTGTTGGTGGTATAGAAAAAATGTTCAACGAAAACAGAATTAATAATAGATCAATCAAACACTATTTCCTTTGGAAAAATTAAGCGTTCGGCCAACCAGTCTATGATATTGTTGTGAACGCAATTTTTCGTTTCTTCCCTGGCACTGGTTGGCTCGATTTCGACTCTTCTGCGGTTTTTTCAACCGAACACGATTGTTGTTCACTTTCTTCTTTTTTCGACTCTTTGCATGGCGGCAATTCCAATGTTCTAAACGACACTCTCCGCTTTTTGGAACCCTCGCTCGGCATTGGACTGTCCGGACTCGGAGTTTTCAAAATCGACTTCGGCGTCGTTGGCGCGGACGACAAATTGCTTCCGGGTGAAACCAAATTGATCTCGTTTGACTTGTCAATAAGAGGCCCCGATGATGGAACAACCTCAGGAATACTGTCGTCATCGATAAAAATTGGGTTGTTTGGGTCGCTTTGAGGGCGAGCATCTTCAGCTTTTTGGTTTTTTAGCGACTCGGCTAAAATACGACTTCCACGGGCAAACGCCGACGCTATTTGATTACTGCTTGTGTCAATATTCTTCGATTTATGAGTATTCTGTTTTTTAGAACTGGCATTTGTTTTTGATTTTGTAGGAACTAGCCTTTGCTTCATTTTCGGCGAAAATGAAACGTTCTTCGGACTAACAGCAGGTGAGTTTGTTTTCAACTCGGCCGGAGAAGCGGGCTTCAGAATAGTTTTCAAGGCCAATGGAGCCAGTTTTCCTTTTCCATTTCGAGACACAGGAGTCGAGGGCTGCGATGTATTAACTGATAATAAACCTTGTTTTTCATTTGTCGGCGTCTTGTCCAAATCAATAATTTGCTGTTGTTTATTATTCAAATGCGTTTCCATTTTACTAGGAGTGCTCGGACCATTTTCACTATGATTTGATGTTGCAATTTTAGCCTCAGCTACTAAAGGAAGATTTTTCGATTCTGGCTTCTGATTATCCAATCTTTCAATTTCGTCGTCTTCTTTCTTTTCAGAATTTTCTTCCTCCTTCAGAATTTCAGCTGAATTTGAAGTTAATAGATTTTCGTCATCCTGTGAGACTTTTGCGTCACAATTAACTATAGGAGTCGACTGAGGTGTTTGGACTGTTTGAAACGCGATTTCAGCCTCTGTCACTTTTTCACCTAACTCACTCTCTTCAAAAGTACATATCGTGGCATATCCATCACTCGAAGTAGCTACAAACATTGTTCCATCTTTACACCAAGAGCCTGAATTTAGTGAAGCATAGTGAATATTTTCCACTTTTGCGAACACTTCGAAGCGTTCTGTGTCGTAGAAAAGAACTGAGTTTTCAGTAATTACTGCAAACACCAGTCGATAGGATAAATTAAATAAATTAGGTCGCACATTCTCGGAATTTTCTGTTTCATTTCTGTACTTGAATTTGATTGGACAGAAAGAAACGCTAACGGACGGTCGTCTGCCACTAGGTAAATACAGCACCGGTTTCGATAAGTTATCTCTGCAATAAACATACGTGCAGAAAATACTCGACTCCGCGCTTATTGGGAAACTTCCTGAGGGCACGACGAAAAATTCGCCGTGGGGTGAAAAACAAATTCTGTGGAAAAATCCATCGCCTGTATCGCCAAAAAGCTTCACTGCTTTGTCGTCGAAAACAAACTTTGTGTTTCTATACGCACACCGTTTATTCGTAGCGTGGTACATACGTACTGATTTATCGTCTGCAAAAGTGGCGATAAACTTGCCCAGGGGGTCTATTGCCACGCCCTGCACGAGACCTGAAAAGATGAAAATTTATACCGATGATACAATAAATCAACTGAATAAAACTCATTTGCAATCGCTGCACTCGTTTTTCTTTTTACTTTCAAACAAAGAGACCGATAATACAATCTGAGTCTAGCTCAATTCCAATTTCAAGGTTCAAAAATAGGTCTTATGATAAATCACATATAAATAAATAAATAATTTTGAAAAAATTAGATTGACTATTATTGCAATTTTATAACCAAATTCACCTGTAAAAGCCTTTGAGATACTCGGCACGATTTTAGAAACAGACTTCACTGTTTTTTTCCTTGAGTGTTTCCCAACAAATATAAGAATGATACGTCATTTTATTCCTCTTGATTGTAGTACTTAAATAAAATTTACAAAACGTACCTTTGCTTTCGCGGAACGCATGCAGACACTGTCCAGTGGACACCTGCCACAGTCGTGCCGAGGTGTCTATGGACCCAGAGAGTAATAGGGTTCCATCACTGTTCCAGCATAGATCCTGCACTTCCTCAATGTGACCTGGAAAACAGCCAACAATGATGGAAAGTCTTCCACTTCAAATATCAAAGAAAACAAGAATAGCCGGTCGCTGTGCGAACATAGTCTTGAAAAAACAAAGAAGTTTTTTTTCAAATGAGTAGTTTTTTCTACGTGGTGTGAAAAAAGGATCTAGCGTAAGCCTATAGTTAAGGCCTAGTCGACAGTCTTCGTAAAATAAGCAAATTGGACAGAAGTTTTGGTAGAATGACTTGAAAAACAAAGTAATAAAAAAATAGGCAATTTTTTAAAAAAAACTTTGCAGCTAGAAAATGACAAGAAAAACGTAACAAAAGACGAGAAAAATTCAAAATTGATTTTCAAAATTGATTTTCCAAACTTTTTTGCAGCAAATTTTTGAATTAAAAAAATTATCAAAATGGCGCTAAAAAACTCCAGAAAAGAATTCTCAGAACTTTCTCAAAACTAAGTTTTCAGGGCTTAAATTAAGCATAATTAAGCTGTTGTATGCCTCCTAGCTCGCTTAATTTGCTCAAAAATGAAAAACAAATTACAAAATTACAAATTTCTTGTTACTGAATAATTTTTTATGTATTCGAATCACGACTGAAAGGGCTTCAATTTGATATTTCACTCAATTCATTCCAATGATTTTTTTGGTACCTAATTTTGCGTGGAAAAAAATAAACACAAGGTGAAGTTGCACTTAGCATACACAAGCAAAAATATGACCGATAACGCTACTGGGAAAAACTGAATGAGTAGAACTTAGAGTCTTCAAAATTTCTTAAGTGACGCACGCCAATTATGACGCATTAGCAGTACCATTCAATTTGAAAAAAAGAAGAAAGTTACAACTAAGATGCCTCAATATATGCCTCAGTCTACGGAGCAGTAATAACATGGTCAAATTAAATTTAAGGAAAATAATAAAAAATCTTTTTTATTTGAGTTTTTTTGTGAAAATCATCCCCCCACACGCCATATTAAGTACAAAGTAATACATTTCGCTCTAGTAACAATCAACTATGGCAAATTAGCGTGCTTCAACCAATTTGGAACAATTTCTATGACGGATTAAATCTCCGCTTACGCGTTAATAGCGCGAAATATATCGCGCGTCAATTGTCCCAAATTGACCAAAATGGCAATGTTAAAACTCTTATAACTTTACGAAAAATGATCACAGATAAAATATCTTTGCAAATTTAAACTCAGGACAAAAATACTTTTGAATGATTTTTAAAAATCCTGTCAAAAATGGCTAGTTGAAAAGAAAGTTATCTGAAGAAAAAAACCACCCCGAGCATAAATATTCCGTTACTTTCAATACGAAAGTGGGAACAATAATAGTCTGTGTTAAAATCCTTAGCATTGGCTGTACTTAACAGCTGGTTATAGATCAAAATGATGACTTTCAAAATGAACACATTTTATCGCAACAAAATTTGCGTCGCAACAATAATTGCGACTTAAGTTGACAAAAAGAGCTAGTTCATACTACATCACAAGCATTGCTTGTGTAAATAAAAAACACATCTGAATACAAAACTCCTCCATATTTTCACTGGTCGGAACAAAACTCATGGCTTTTAAGATCTTTGAATTTCGAGAACAAGTGAAGATCTTGTTAACTATCCCCCCCCCCCATTTCCATTTTGAGAAATTCAGCTTTGGCTGCCACATTTTCGATAGCTTAAAACAATTTTCAGAAAATATATTAATATAAAATTTTTATGTAGGTATTATATAAACAGCGAGCAATACATATACGAACGCGCGAAAATAAAAACTCAATCCGTTTTTGACATTTTTGAAAGCGTGGGGGGATAGTTAACAAGGTCCCAAGGGGGGGGGGGGAATAGTTAACAAGATTCACAAGTAATTATTGACATTTTGTAGATAAAATTAACGAATTTGAAACACAGAGGCGAGGCTGCGCTTCGCAAACACTTGCGAAAACACGACCAAAAAGCAGCACTATCAAGCTAAAAAAGAAAAAGTAGAAAAAAGCCTCATATTAACAAAAACTCGGCTTAGTGTAGGATTCGAATCTGCGACCTACTGCAATCAAGGGATTTTGAGTCTCACGCACTATCCCCTCAGCCACTCAGTCTTTACAACCGAAAAATACTAGTCACGAATAAAGCAGCTTTCTATGCTAACAAATTGCCTATGTGATTCAGCACCAAATACAAAGACTCAATTCAAAGCACAGGCTATCAAAAAAATGTAAGCGTGCCGCTCCACCTTTATTGGAGTGCCTCACCAAAATTTGCGAATTAGGTTAAAAAGAAGGTTCGTACTAATACACTAGCTTCGCAAGTGTAAAAACTGGATCAATAATTATTTTTATTCCTGGGAAATGTTAGTACTAAATTCCACTTTCGAAACTAGAAGCCGATCGATCGCGTACTTCATGACCTCTACAATTTTGCTGTTCGATAGCTGTGTCTGCCGTCCTTTTACTTGCAGAAATTAAATTAACTGGTGATATGTTACAATAGGTGGTCATTTTGAGAACTATTTGAGAAGTGATGTATTAAATTTGACAATTCTTATGCATACTATAGTCGTTTCATTTTCAATCAATTGTACAGGGGACTAAAATAAATTTTGTGATGCAGCACACTGTCAGATGAAATGTTATTCGAAAATTCTATTTTTACACTTCTTTTGCCAAAAAAATTGGCTTTGAAATAATACAAACTGTTCAAAATATTAGAAATTTCGCTTCAGCTTTTTAACTTGAATCTGGCACCTATTGTAATATATCACCAATTAAATTACATAAATCAAAAGTCAAAACGCTAATGAAAAAAGTATGTTTGAGAAAAAAGCCGAAAAATATCATTGCGACCTATATAATTGTTTTGACTACGTTCATTGACACTTCATTACAACGAATACAACATCTCCGTTAACTAAGAGTTCAGTTCTAATTTATTGCACATATTTGTTTTTTCTTGTCAAAATAATTATCACCATTATTCAGCAAACTCTAAGCTATGGGGTGATTGGCATTTCTGCTTTTTTTTGCATGGGGTGATTACCATTTCTGCCTAGGTTCTTAATAATTTCATTTACGGTCTTAATATATTCATGTAAGTGTAAAAATGATCGCATTTCAATTAATTTTTCTTTAGAATGATCATACAAGCCACCATATAGCCATACCTCTCAAAGTCCTCGTAACCTTCCAATACTCTTTGTTCAAGTCTGTCTCCTCGTCGAGAAAAGAGGCCGCATATTTCTCCTTGTCGTCACATTTGGTCCACAGACACACCACTCCGTCGTCATCACAACTGGCCAACACTGGCTGGTTCTGAAGCAGCACTGGACAAAACTTGACACAGTTAGCCGACCGCTTGTGGTCTGACAAGATTGAGAGCACTTCGATCTTCAGCTTAAAAAAAAAAAATTTTCATACACAATAACGTCTGAGAAGGGGGACCGGAAGCATTTCTCAGGGTAATACTTCAATTATTGTAAATACAACATACATAATAAGCCTTTTCTAAGCCTGAAACCAATTCACTATTACATTACCACTTATATTGTTTTTAAACGCCATTACTTCGGAAATTCCGGAGGCAAAAACTAATCAAATCAACAATACAAACCAAAGAAATTCATGGTAACATAATTCAGAGCAGAAATACTTCAAAAAATCAAAAACACCCAAAATTCCTCAAAAAAGAACCATAAGTCTTGATTACCCAGATATCTTCAAAAACTCCCTCCAAAGTCAGAAAACCCCAAAGTCTTCAAAAAGGAGGAATCAAAAATCATCATATGAAGCGTGATATGAAGTCATCATATGAAGTCTATATGAAGCGGATGGTATCATACCTGTCCCTCGTAGCACCATATCTTCCACAGTTTGACGTCATTGTCTGCGCCTGCAGTTGCCAGTCGGAAATCACTGTCGTTGGACACTGTCTGGAAGTCACAGGCGTAGATGGGCTGGGTGCCGTGCCACGCTATCTCCGGCAGCTCAAACTTCATCACTTACTCTGAAAATCAAAAAAAAACATTACAAAGGCAAAGATGCACTTGACAAACACAAGCAAACAAAAAACAAGAAAAAGAAACAATTCAAGAACAGCAAAAATAGTCCTTGAAAGAATATCAAATCAAGGTCAAAATGCAGAAAACAGCTGAAAAAAGGCCGCTCTTACAACAACAATTTAAGCTCAACTGTGTAATGAGTTATTACTGTTAAATAAGATTGAAGAAAGTAAGGAGTTATTAGCCAGTTTTCATTTGTTTTCACTTGAAAACTGGCTAATAACTCCTTACTTTCTTCAAAGATTATCTAACTCTTTTTCGTTTTATTTTCATGGTGAAATATTTCCAAACGCATCCAGACAATTCGGCCAAAGACAATTCAGCCGATTTGAAATTCAGACAATTCAGCCAAAAGTATGCAGACAATTCAGCCAGAGGAATTTCAGCCAATAATAGTGACCGCCGCAGTCGCGCAACGTGTTGCGATCTTGCCAACAGAGGGTAGGACTAATCAACACCTAATAAAGAGTGGCCGCATATCGATTTGAGAACATATGATCTACGTTTAAGAATCCTGTTGACTAATACAATGAACATTGGTAGCCCCATATAAGGTAACTAAATTAAAGTCTAAATGGAAATTCAATACTTAGGCAACAATTGATGCAAGATCTTTGTTAAGAAAAAACGACCAAGTTACCCCCGTCAGGTTATTTTTTTACTTTCGAGGATTGTTTATTGACTATTACACTCTCATTGAAATCAAAATAGACTACAATGATGGTTGGCGCTTTTGTTTGTGAAAAACTATCACTAAAACTGAAAAAAAAGTATCCAAAAAGCTATCTTACAAGTTCCAATAAGTGAAGATTTATACATTAAAACATATGCAAATTTACAAGAGAAAAATATTAATTTGGCGGTGTGACTGAAATGAAGTTCAACATAAAAACCATAATTTTCGCAATAATCAATCATGGTTCAATTTGATTGGTATTTTGAAAGTAGTGGAAGCACCAAAAATAGTCTTTACCCTGAACAAGAATGACAATGTGCAAGTAATAGAAGTAAGAGCTTCTTCGAAATCGAAGAAGCAGCCAACTTGAACTCTACAAAGAGTCAATATATTCACACAACTTGTCAACTTCGTCCCAGTTTTTAACTCGGAATTCTGTTTCTGATTCTTCATTATAGGGCTGATCAAACACAATGTGTTTCCACGATGGAGCCATGCATCCTTTTATTTTGGGTTTATCGTCTATCAGAACTGCTCCTGCAAAGGCCATAGATTACAATAGTTGCACCACCTCGAAAAAATTTCGCCACAGTACATAATTGAAACCTTGGCTAGCAAACCAAGTGCAGTGCTTGAACTTTTGCTTTTATCGATACTGTATTTTCACTTTCCTTACACAACTAAAGACATAACTAGGGTGTATCTCATTAATTAGATCATTTGCATTTACCGGACAGCTCCTGGGTAAAGAAAAAATTGCCCCTTTTTGCTTTCAAAAACTTGCCCCTTTTTGCTATCAAAAACTTGCCCCTTTTTTGCCCGTGTTCTATTTCAATGATAGTTTTCATCAATCTTCTCCACGGTTACAATATTGTATATCCTATTAATCTATAACCTATTAATCTTGCCTGATACTACAGTTTTATCTCTGGTAAGAATGATCTGTTTGGTGAACTCGAATCCCAAGTGCTCCTCAACCCACTCGTACTTTTCTCTCACACAGTCGTGGAACAGCGTCATAGGTGCTGAGCAGATGAACAGTGTATATCTACCATTCAATTTCTCCAGGGCTGAAAAAAACCAGACCCAATGTCAAAGCTCACTGCATGTTTTTTTGTTATTTTCTAAGCATTAGAACAAACGCTTGTTATTATCATAACAAGTAACGGTTAAATTCACCATTCAAAAACCAAAAAGATGTTACCAATCGAAGACATAAATTCCTGCGCCGCAAGCAAGCTACTCCAAAAATGAGCCGAAATGCTGTTTTTTGTCATTTTTGCAACAATGTTTTGATCAAAATCGCTCTCTTGAGGTAAGTATGCATTCTGGTCATAAGATCCTTTAGAAAAATTAAGAGTTGGCAAAACAAGCATAGCCAACATACAAATGGAAAAGAGCCACTGAAGGCAGGCAAACAGAAAAAAAATTCAAAGGGTTTTATGGGCATCAATTTTTTTCTTTGAATTTTGGCACTTTTTGATAAAATTGATCTGATGTGAGAAATCTGGATAAATAGGTAAATTTTTTATTTCGCTTCAAAATCTGAAAATTAAATTCCACTTTCGAAACTAGAAGTCGGTCACGTTTTTGGTGACCTTTAGACTTTCGCTGTTCGGTAGTGGAGTTTGCCTGACATAATTATGACGTTGATTATTGAGAACCATACAAGACCATATTGAAACTCATAGGAGGGATACAAGAGATGATTTGACCTGTGCATGCAAAAACCAGGACACCTCCCCCCGGCCCAAGTAATATCGGTTCCCGGAAGTGCAAATAGTCATATTGGAACTCGGTAAACAGCGGTTGGAATGGGACCAAAGTTTAATAGGTGATAGACCTAGCTGAGGAAAGCTTAAGCTTAAAACACATGACCCCCTAGACCCCTACTTCCTGTGTTACGTCCCAAGAAGTCGTTGACTAAACACCCCAAAATCTCGAACCCACTGAACGCAGGGAGGCAAAACTTTGGGTTATGATAGGTTGTCAATGGACATGTATTACAATTTTAGCTTAAGTCAGCGGTTGAACCGGAAGTTATCATCACTTGAGAAAAACACCGGAAATAGGCAATTTACCCAAAAGAATGAGCGAGCGCATTTTGAAATTATAGCAGCAATAGACACCAGACACGAACCACGAAAAAACCCGAAGACACGAACCTCCGGCGACTCCTTCAAATGTTAATTTGAACCCCCATGAGATTCTGAAGTTGAATAGGAAAGATTGACCCCGGGTGACCCCAGAATGACCTTTGGACAATGAGGACCAAAATTCATAGAAAACCTTGATTAACACCGGAATGTTGCCAGTTTCCCAGTCTCAACCCTTTGAGATAAGAGTCGGCCACCCTACGTATAATAGGGGGTAAATTTGGGCTATGGAAAAGGAATAAAAAAAATGAAAGGAAAAACCTGCGAAATCATTGAGTTGAAGTGTTTGATTGAGAAGAAGTGGACATGGCAAATATTGAATTGAGCTTGGCTACGATCGCTGAGCTATTAATAGAAAATCAACTAGACTTATTCAACTAGAACTGATAGAAAACCAACAAAAAGTAGTCCCAGAAAAAACTGGCAGTAAAAGGAGCGCGGCATACGAAGTAAGTATCTTAAATAAAATGATTGGAAGGGAAGTTCACTGGGCTCCCACGAGGTGACTGTTTGGCTTGACTTGGCCCCTAATAGACAAATTACTTCGCCCTGTTAGCTTGAAGGTCGGGATTGGAATAGGGTGTAGATGGAGTTTTTTAATGCTCGAAATGAATTAGCTAACCATGAAAAAGTTCTACCTCTCCCCGCCCCTTTTTTGCCCGTGTTCTATTTCAATGATAGTTTTCATCAATCTTCTCCACGGTTACAATATTGTATATCCTATTAATCTATAACCTATTAATCTTGCCTGATACTACAGTTTTATCTCTGGTAAGAATGATCTGTTTGGTGAACTCGAATCCCAAGTGCTCCTCAACCCACTCGTACTTTTCTCTCACACAGTCGTGGAACAGCGTCATAGGTGCTGAGCAGATGAACAGTGTATATCTACCATTCAATTTCTCCAGGGCTGAAAAAAACCAGACCCAATGTCAAAGCTCACTGCATGTTTTTTTGTTATTTTCTAAGCATTAGAACAAACGCTTGTTATTATCATAACAAGTAACGGTTAAATTCACCATTCAAAAACCAAAAAGATGTTACCAATCGAAGACATAAATTCCTGCGCCGCAAGCAAGCTACTCCAAAAATGAGCCGAAATGCTGTTTTTTGTCATTTTTGCAACAATGTTTTGATCAAAATCGCTCTCTTGAGGTAAGTATGCATTCTGGTCATAAGATCCTTTAGAAAAATTAAGAGTTGGCAAAACAAGCATAGCCAACATACAAATGGAAAAGAGCCACTGAAGGCAGGCAAACAGAAAAAAAATTCAAAGGGTTTTATGGGCATCAATTTTTTTCTTTGAATTTTGGCACTTTTTGATAAAATTGATCTGATGTGAGAAATCTGGATAAATAGGTAAATTTTTTATTTCGCTTCAAAATCTGAAAATTAAATTCCACTTTCGAAACTAGAAGTCGGTCACGTTTTTGGTGACCTTTAGACTTTCGCTGTTCGGTAGTGGAGTTTGCCTGACATAATTATGACGTTGATTATTGAGAACCATACAAGACCATATTGAAACTCATAGGAGGGATACAAGAGATGATTTGACCTGTGCATGCAAAAACCAGGACACCTCCCCCCGGCCCAAGTAATATCGGTTCCCGGAAGTGCAAATAGTCATATTGGAACTCGGTAAACAGCGGTTGGAATGGGACCAAAGTTTAATAGGTGATAGACCTAGCTGAGGAAAGCTTAAGCTTAAAACACATGACCCCCTAGACCCCTACTTCCTGTGTTACGTCCCAAGAAGTCGTTGACTAAACACCCCAAAATCTCGAACCCACTGAACGCAGGGAGGCAAAACTTTGGGTTATGATAGGTTGTCAATGGACATGTATTACAATTTTAGCTTAAGTCAGCGGTTGAACCGGAAGTTATCATCACTTGAGAAAAACGCCGGAAATAGGCAATTTACCCAAAAGAATGAGCGAGCGCATTTTGAAATTATAGCAGCAATAGACACCAGACACGAACCACGAAAAAACCCGAAGACACGAACCTCCGGCGACTCCTTCAAATGTTAATTTGAACCCCCATGAGATTCTGAAGTTGAATAGGAAAGATTGACCCCGGGTGACCCCAGAATGACCTTTGGACAATGAGGACCAAAATTCATAGAAAACCTTGATTAACACCGGAATGTTGCCAGTTTCCCAGTCTCAACCCTTTGAGATAAGAGTCGGCCACCCTACGTATAATAGGGGGTAAATTTGGGCTATGGAAAAGGAATAAAAAAAATGAAAGGAAAAACCTGCGAAATCATTGAGTTGAAGTGTTTGATCGAGAAGAAGTGGACATGGCAAATATTGAATTGAGCTTGGCTACGATCGCTGAGCTATTAATAGAAAATCAACTAGACTTATTCAACTAGAACTGATAGAAAACCAACAAAAAAGTAGTCCCAGAAAAAACTGGCAGTAAAAGGAGCGCGGCATACGAAGTAAGTATCTTAAAGAAAATGATTGGAAGGGAAGTTCACTGGGCTCCCACGAGGTGACTGTTTGGCTTGACTTGGCCCCTAATAGACAAATTACTTCGCCCTGTTAGCTTGAAGGTCGGGATTGGAATAGGGTGTAGATGGAGTTTTTTAATGCTCGAAATGAATTAGCTAACCATGAAAAAGTTCTACCTCTCCCCGCGGGAGGACGAACACATTAACGGATTGTTAAAAACAGAACGTGTGAGGCGCACTGAATAAACAAAAAATGTTCTGGAGGTTGAGGTGAGCTTGTGGGCTAGAGTTCACGGAGGTCAGGAATTCGTTGATTAGGATCGCATGGCATTTGATTGGTTGTTCGAAATGTGACACCTACTGCATACCGGGTATCTATTAAGCGTGACATAATTGATAACAGAAACTAAACTTGGCCCTTGGAAGTGTTGAGAGGAGGAGGGATGTATTCAAAAAACAGGTGCGGAGGAGTGAATTAAACGGATGCCAGGATTGGCAGGAAATGGCGTGACTTTAACCGAAACTAAGTGTAAATAAAGATAAGGCACTGGTGGTATTGGAGAGCCTCCAAGTGTCAGAACAATTATTGCGGAGACAGTATATAGTTGGCTCTCGCAGTCAGAGAACATTGTTGCGAAATTAAAGAGATTAGTCAAAGTACCTCAAAGGATTAGTGATCCGTAGAGACAATATTAACTTGAGCAGGTCTCACTGAGTAGATGTGGAAAATAATTGAGCGTATTCGGGTAGTTAGGCCTCTCTAGAGAGGAAGAATTGTTTAGTTGAATAACACTAGTCGATAAATCGCGGACCCTTTCCATTTGATTAGATTATATGTTAGCCACTCATTCAGAGCCATCTGTATGTGGACAATATTAATACGATTTCAATTACACTTGGAAATTCTAGCGATCGTGAATACGAGCGATACATCCTTAAGAGCAGTAAAAAGGGGGCAAGCGACATAATACCGAGAAAAATTGCCACCAACTTAACCCTTTCGGGATTGTAGATAGCACTGAATCTCTGAGTGGAGTACCCAAGGGAATACTTTGCGGCGCCGTTAACACACACACACACACACACACACGCACACACACACACACACACACACACAAAGAGAGAGAGAGAGAGAGAGAGAGAGAGAGAGAGGGAGAGAGAGAGAGAACGAACCTAGAGAAGCAATCCTCGAATTCTACAATTGCATAAAAAAGACAGTATAGGCTATACTTAAATTCGAATACATTAGTGGCCGGAACAATAAATAACAGTCTATATATTACTTTTTAAAACTCTGAGTCCAATTGAACCATATATTGAAGCGCTTCTTTGGAGTCAGTTATCAGTTACAACTAATAGCGTTTAATTCTTACTTTACTCATTTTCAGCAGAAGATCGTGACAATTTTAACAGGTGTCATTAAATTTAATTTGAAGGTTATTTGATCCAAAAACGACATCGAGGGGGAAATTGATATCGAGAGGCCACCGGTTCAAAGCTGTCCTTTGAAAAATCGTGACTATTGAAAGGAATACCTGTAATTCAAAGGCATACTTTTTTAGATCTGATAATTTTCCGATTTTACATTCTCAAGTCACTGTACTTAACAATATCGCCGACATGAACATATCCACAAATGCAGTATTTTCACATACTTTTATTGTAGAAAGCTGCATTTTAAAAACTTCTCCAGAATATTGTCTTTCATTTTTTTTTCGAGATGACAGTGCGAAATAACCAAGTAACATTTTAAAAAATAAACGTTTGCTATTCGATAATCTATTACAGAAAAATTAAAGAGGGATAGATTTTTAAACACATCTCCATTCAAAAACCATACAATTCGATAAATTTAGCCAAATTCTAACCTTCCTTTGCGCCCTTCATGATAGGCATATCTCTGAAAAATCGAGGAGTAACTGCAATTCTTTGAAACTCCTCCCGATGCTCAGGGTAGAGTTCCGAGTACTGCACGTCTGAATAGAAGACCTTCCTCTCTTCACGAGGTATGAGATCCATGCCTGGAACCCAAGATAATTATAAACCATTCATCCACCAGGTACTGCCAGCTAATCAGATAAAGCTGTTTATGATTCACCCAGAAGCAAAAATACTCTCAACAACAACATGCAGGATCCCAAAAGGGGATCTATGTGTTGCGTGCTTAGACGACCTAACCCGCACCCCCTCAGGCATTCAGTCTCTGACCACCCAAAGGGGGTCTTTGATTTTAGCTTCCGACTTCAGTTTTCGGTCGACCAAACCCTGAAATTGATCCAAAGGAGCCGTCGCCGCTAAAATCCTGTCGCCGCCAACATCCTGTCGCCGCCAACATCCTGTCGCCGCCAACATCCTGTCGCCGCCAACATCCTGTCGCCGCCAACGTCCTCAAAAATTGAGGGGGACCGGAGCACCAAAAGTAAGTTTGGTTGGTCTAATATTAGATCGAATAAATGTTTTGAAAATCAGCTGCTCCCATCTCCACAGAAATCCTTGATCAGCGACTGCAGTTTTGCCCAACAACACGGAGCATATAAACGATGTTTATTGCTCCAAAAATAGCTCTAACCATTTAAAATTTGTTTTTGAGCAAAAATTTGATTTCATTAAGTAAAAATGACATTTTTGGCTGTCGAGTAAAAATGTATTCTCTTATACATATTTTTGGAGATGGAGATTTTACACTTATAGAACTTTATCGGGTTGGGTATAAAGCGCCTTTTGATATAACTTTCTTATAATCCCAATAAATTAGTTTCTAAGTTATGTTTAGTACAAAAAACGTGAGATGTCATCAAAAGGCAATAGACTGGGATTAGACTGTCAATTTACCGCCTCTAAACAGCGTAATCCTAATATCTGATCTGTCAGGATTACTGAGCAAAAAAACATAAGCTGTGTTCTCTTCTTCTACCTGTAACTGTGCGCAAAGTTCTCAAACTTTTTTTAAAAATCCATACAACAATTCTTCCAGTTCAACTGTAATTTTGCAATCGAATAAATGAATGCTGCTTGTTCAAAACTTCAACAAAAAATTTTATCAAATCATAAACATGCAATTCTTTCCATGTGTAGATATTGTCTTAATTTTTTTGAAAATCGCAAAGTATCCGTCCTCTTTCTGGAGAAAAGTGACCTTAGCATCCCATTTTGAGGGTACTCAACTTTTCCTCAGCCTTTTTATTGGCAAGCCCAAAGATCAAAACACTTAAGTGTATAACTGGTTCAATGCTTAAGTGTTTTCCAACTTCCACGAAAAAATCTAAGTATTAATTTGGTTGTTTCTACTTCACTTTTTACAATTGCGCCACAGAGATCTTTCGTTTGGGAAATTAGTGCTTTTGAATTACTTTTTGATATTGTATTTTGTTCTAAAAACATTGTTTGATATTTTGAAATTCTTTCTATCAGTGTTTTCTGACTGAAGAATATCTGTCTATCTGCACAAATCTGTTCGCCTTCGTTTTCCAGGTACAATGTTGAAAGACCACTTTTGACAAAATTGTACCTTATAACTTAATCTTTCAGTTCCTCCTTTCCACTTTTTAATTTCGCTGTTTCAATCGTACTACTCCGTTAAGGGAGTTCGAGTGAAATTCAAAAAATTTCCAACGATTCATCAAGTAAAACTTGCGGTGATCGAGATCTGATTCAAAGTAAGCCTCTGTATATTAAAATTTTATATCTAATTGAATTTTGTTTTCGTCAGAATGCTTGAAATTTCTTAACATATGGGATTTTTTTCCTTTTACTTTCATTGAAACTCAATTATTTTGTTTAGAACGAAACAATGATGGTCTGATAGGGCAGTAATTTTTGTTTCACACAACCCATCAAAAACCGTGAAGTACAAATCAATCCAGGTATTTGTCCATGTGGTATGGATTTTGGCTAAATTTGTTAACTTCAAATCTACCTTGTCCGAATAGTGTGCTCACAAATTTTCCATTAAAATGGTTGTTTCTGAAAAATTGATGTTCAAATTATCGCATAATAAAGGCTTACATCTGATTTTGAGCAAATAGCTTTATCATATGCTCCTGCAAAAATATTGTGTCTCTTCAATACCAAAATTAGGCAACCGGTGAACGGTTGAAATTGAAGGTTAACTATCAAATATTTCTAATTACATGGTCAATATTTGGACGTTGAGATGGTTTGTTTGAGTTAAAATTCAGTAATTTATGGAATTTTCGACGTATATTCCTACTCCGTCACCAGGAAGTTTTTTCTTTGCAATAACCAGTTCATGGTAGTTTGCAATAGAAAAACTTCACATTTGTTTCTTTCTCACACCATATCTCAGTTGGTGCAATAGCTATAGGCTAACTTTTAAAAAAAAGCTTCCAATTCTTGAAAGTTACTGTTTAGTGATCTTAGGTCTTGCGAAACGATTGAGTTAACCTTAGTTTCTAGCTTGTCTAAGAAAACCCACAACGAACGTTCCGCTGTGCTTCGTGTAAGTTTTTTGCGATGATTCGCTACGCTTTCCTTTTGCAACTTTTTTGTGTATAACTTGTATGCAATTGATCGACTTTTTTTTCATTTAAAAGTAAACATGCTCATGAATTTATTGGATTAAATTTGGGTTACGCACAGCAGAAATCGCAGTTCAACGTAATTCTTGATGAACTAAAGAAAAACAAAACGATGCATTATTAGGGTAAAATTTTTATTTCATTCGCAAAATAAATTGCATCAGAATAATTCTAATTAATATCAAAGCAACTTTTGTTCTCATCACTTTTGTTTAATCTCACCCCAATTTGAAAAAAAAACTCCTTTGAAGTTTCAAATTATTCTCGTTATGTCTGGATACGGTAAGCACAGGCGAATCAGATCTTCGCACCACTTGCGAAGCAAAAATTAAAAGTCAAAAAATCAGATTACAAAATTTGTGGAGAAATTACGTAAGCAAGAAAATCGGCGTACCTCCGACTTACTTTTAAAACTTGCCCGCTATTCAACGAAGTATTCCAAAGACACGCAATCAAAGCATTGGTTAGCTGCATTAATGAAAGAGCCAAAAACCACTAACTCTGATATACTTTTAAATTGAGTAAATGAAAGACATAAATACCGAACAATGTTACTCAATTTTTCAGAAGCCTAGACACATCAGATTAGAAACACAACAAATGTGATCTGAACAATATTCTGAACATAACTTTTGAAAATAGTCTGAATATTCTGAACAGAAAAGTGAAAACCAAAAAAAAACGATAAAAACAGCTGAATGAACAAACAAAAACATAAAAATTTGAAACCAAAGTTATTGAGCAAACTGAAAACAAATAAAATTTCGAACATTTCAAATTTTTTTTGAAGTTTTACTTTTATTACGATAGTCTGGGAAAGTGACTTAGATTTACCCAAAAAATTTTGTAAGACTTCAACCATTCTTATAAAAACCAACAAAAAGTAATCATTCGGAAAATTAGCAGACACTCAAGTTCCGAAAAACTACCGAATTTTTTGACACAAAAAATAATTTTAAATGAACCCATGACAGGTACACAAGGTACATACACAAGGTATATACCTAACATGAACATACTGCAATTACGTCTGCAGTAAAACACGTGCGAATTCTGTGGACAGAGTTGTATACGGAAAAAAGCCTATGGTCGCAAGGGTAATCAGCACTATAGAATAAAAAAAATAGATAACATGAAAAACTTGTTAGAACTTAAACACAGCCCTCGCTATCTTCGACGAAGTTAAGAAAATCGTTCAAAAATTGCAAATCGATAATTTAAATTTGTGTGGGAGCTCACAAAAACAATCGTTCTTCTCTTTCAAATCGGGATGAAAGAATACCTGGAAACAATGCTGATACAGCTCTTTCGTAACCCAGTTCGTAATCGACTATGACTCCATCCATATCAACGAGGACTATTTTCGACTTGTCACTTCTGCTGCCACCTTTCATTAGTGATGCCATAAACAAGATCTAAAAAGGTAACTGTGACATCACTGCATGATGTCATGCATTCTTATGCTATAATAAATTACATAATTAACCTTGTTAATGAGATGAAGTTTATACATTTATATTTTTTTAACTATGTAAATATTGATGGTAATTGATACCAATCATTAGAGAGAGATTTAGACCGAGCTACTAATCAATTGGGTAGACTTGAACAGAATTAAATTTTATATCATGCTCTATCTTGCGCTGATCGACTAGTGATATTCCAGAAGTTAAGAACCGAATCCTGCGTCCTTAAAAGCAAGATAAGTCTTAACCGCTCGAGACATATAAATTATAAATAAAAAACAATAACACTTGATAGCCAGTAGCGCTAATTACTATTCGAACAGCTCGTAATAATTAAAATAAACGACGATATAGCTGTCCACAGCCATCCGAAGGGACACTATATTACATGGTGACTGTCGCGGAAGATTCTACTTCTGGATTCACCAAAAGTCATCGGCAATTGAAGACTACAACACACGAGCAGACGGTGACAACCGCATTTTGCTGAAGCAGAACAGGGCAACAACAACCGTTTCACCCAGCAACGCGTAGATGTGGGTAGCAGAGCAACATTCGGCGATCAACTGAGACAGACAGGGAGGAAAAGAAGACAATCACGACTTCTCAACATCTCTGAGCTGACAGTTTCTTCAATCTACAGAAAGATGTGGATTGTGACCTACAACATCTCTACTTTATCTTCCAGTCAGAAGGCAGGGCAGCTGAGCTACTGAGAAGGCAGACAAAGAAAGCAGATCTACAGGTTTTTCAACAATCAACAAAAACAGTTAGTTAAAACAAACTCAAAACTTAAACCTGCAGTAAATTGATATAGTTGTCATTAAATTTCCTCACCATAGAAGTGAAGTAGCGGAACCTTTAGCACAACCATATAATTGCAGCAATAAAACCTGATCAGTGATACCGCTGGCCCTTTTTTTTAAACGCTCATTTAAATTGCAAACTCTCGAGTGTTTCCCCTAAATTGAATAAGTGCTGTGTCTTATCATCAACTGTATCATCTTGATATTCATTCAACTGTAAGACGATGGCACACGCGCAAGTTTCGGTCGAACCCTACGGAGGAGCGGAAAAAGGAGACTTTTCAGAATTCGAGCAACTTTTTCAAGTCTACATCGGAGTAGCAGCGATACCAAACGAGCAACAAGCGAATTTCTTGCAGCTACATCTACGAGATAATGCGCTGAGATTCTATCAGACACTAGGACCTGCAACTCGAGCGAACGTTTCCGCGAGTCTCATAGCTCTCGGGATCACTTTTGCAATCCTCAGCTTCAAGAAGTCCATGTTTTGAAGCTAGAACAACTGCGATTCAACCCGAAAACCGATACTCCCGAGAATTTTCTCGTGAACTTGACAAAGAAAGCGCAGCGAGCGTATCCGACACCAGATTTGCCAGCTGTCACCCCAATTGATCCCGCAATTATTGGAGCACCTGCAGCAGCCGAAGCAGCACGATTCCACCGAGAAACTGCTCAAAGGCAAGAAAGAATAGATGCTGTACATGACAATCGAAATGAACAAACTACACGAATGTTCATTAAGGGAATGCCAGGCTGGCTGAGATCAAAGCTGGGAACAACCACCTGCAACAACCCAGGCTGGCTGGGAACAACCACCTGCAACTACAGTTCAGGAATTGTGTAACCTGACCAAGAAGCAAATCACAATTCGTGAAATTTGCCGAAAAGACGATTACCCGGAAGACAGATTTAACGAAGTAAACGACAAAGTCTCAGAAAATCTTATAAACGCTCTCACAAAATTGTCCACAAATCAGGAACAAATGGAGAAGCAGCTCAGCGAAATGAGATCACAAATAACTGAGCAGTCGCAGAAACAATCTAATCCGCTTTCCGAACAGAATCGGAACAATAGCAGTCACAGTGGTCAGTATAGTGGCTATCAGTCAAACCAAAATAACGGGTATGGACAACAACGAGGTGGAAGACACAGAAATAATTGGTAAAATAAACTTGATTTCAACAATACTCAGCCAAACTTTCAAAATATGCCACCAGTTGCACCACAGCAATATTCCCAGTGGTACCCTCAAAATCAGCAGCACCCAAACTACTATATATATGACTGATCTATTTTCGGAGATTTTATCAACTAAATCTAAGAATAATGCTGTCAAAAAGGCCTGCAACCAAAAATAATTGCCACGGTAATAAGGGAAAAACAGTGAGCCCTACAAACCTATAATAAACTTTGAATGCAGGGGTCCCGATTTGGAACTTTTTTATCCAAATTCAAAAACCGATCCGGTATAACTATTTTTCGGCAGTAATCAAAATTATATCATCAACCAAAACATGAACATTGAAAAGACGAGCAAACAAAAAACATATATAGAAACTAATTAATTAGTAGAAACTAATCAATAGACGATCATACATGAAAAAGTGAGCTTTTTTGAATTAAAAACAACCAATGTGTTTGAAACTTTCTGTTTTTAAATCAGTCCTGCAAGTAAAAAAGAGGCTGACTGCCTTTGGAATTTTAAATTTTTGCACAAAATTTTTCCCCTTTTACCCTATTAGATTGAGAAAAACATCAATTTCTACATCCTTCCGATAAAAGTGAGCTAGTTGCTCAGTTTTCCAATATCATGAACAATAAATTTTCACAGGACCTAATTAGAAAACATTGAAAAAATGAAATTTTGAAAATTAAGAACACTTTTAAAAAGGCCATAATTCCGTAAGCATTGAGTTTAGGAGCTTCGCGTTTTCACTCCATAAATGCAACACTAGTATAAACTAAGGCTTGTTTAACTTTTTTCAATTTCCTAATTTAAGGACTCTAATAGGAAATCTTCTTGCTTTCTAGTACCATTAAATTTGGTAGGTAACTTTTGAAACTTCAAAAAATGCAGAACAGGGGTGAAAATGGGATTAAGTTCCTCAGCAGTTCATTACCATTAGATGGGTAGAATTAAACGTGCTTTTCTATAGGCAAGTTCAATTCATTCTCAATTTCAAATGAAAGACCCCTCTTATCCATGTTACTGTAATTTTTTGTACTGAAATTGAGATAAATGTAGAACTTAAAATTAGTAGCGCCTTTTTCTTTATGAAACACGGAATCAATCTAGATTGTGTATAATCTTACTCCAATCATCCTTTATTCCTACAGCCTGTATTCTTCAGATTTTGCTTAACGCACTTGTACCATCGTTTCGTAGAAATTCAATCAAGGCACACCACAACATTTCGATTGATTAGATCACACGCCTCACTTCATGTGCAATGGCTGATTGCTTTTTTGCAAGCAATCAAAAAAATGATATTCAACAGACAGCAATTATATTATCGCTTTTTCTCTTAACGCCCAGAAAAAGTTGGTAAAGTTGACTTCACAGGTGTAATTTGATTTAAGTCAGCTACCGGGCCATAAATGGCTATACCAGTTAATATATTATATACAAAATACAAATCTACACATAGTCATAATAAAAGAAAGAAATAATGAACGAAGCTTGTGTATGCCTACTCCTTAAATAATAATCGCACGGCCGTGAAATTTTACATGTTCATATTAATACGAGGATTTCTATGGGCTATGCTCTGGGTGCAAAAATGGGTTTACGTGACTACTATTTTCGTTTAGCAGTTCAATTCCATAAGACGGTGAGAATTGCGAACATGGATTTTTTAAAATAAATTGATTCATTTTCATTTTCAATTAAGGCATATCTATAATCAATGTTACTGAAAGTTTATGAAACAATTTGATAGAGATATACGCTATACTTCGAACTATTAGCATTTTCTTTGTCATTTAGTAACAATTTATTCGAACCATCTTTTACTAATCTAACATCTTAACCTGGCACACGAATTCTTTCATTTTTACTCAACACGCAACGCTTTAAAAACTTCTCACGCGCGATTCTTTAGCCTCTTTTACGAGTAACAAAAAAGTAAGTCTTATATGAATTTTCTTATTTGGGACCAGTGAACTTTTTTCAAACTGTGTCCTTTTCTTGCTCGAGGTTTAATAAGAGAGTCTGAGCAAAAGCCTCGAACTAAGGCATAGTCGATAGTGATATTAAATTAAGTATATTCGACATTATTTTCTTCAAAAATGAACCGAGAAAAAATCCAATTTTTTTTCACTTTTTCGCAGATAACTTGTTTAAATTTATTTCAGAAATTGTTTACTTCCCAAAATGCTCTATAAGAAAATTCGAAAATTAATAAATATATGTAACACTAAGTTTTCACGTTGTAACTGTAAGATTATCGCTTCATTATGAGCCTGCTCACTTCATCATTTATTCGCTCGAAATTAGACTAAAAAATCAAATATTTCAAACCGGCACTTAGAAATGTCTTGGAAAATTTTTGCCGTTCGAATCGCCACTGAAAGGGCTTCAATACCCTGTATCACTCAACCCCTTCCGATGATATTTTTGTGTACCTGATTTTGCGTGGAAAAAAGTTTTAAAAGACTACAACACATCCGAAGACAAAGTTTCTGCCCACTTTCAGTTGTCGGAACAAAAACACTCTTCATCGATCATTAAATTCAGTACCAGTTTAATAATTCAGTACCTCAGGGACCGTGCGCGATCCTTATAATTTAAATACTGCATCTATTTCTCACTGAGTATTTCAATTCAGTTCAAGTAAGTAGAAGCTCGCGCCGATAGCATAATTACCGCGAGGCACTTAAATTTATGCATAGATTTTAAAAATATTCATAAAAACATCTATTTGAATATTTTTTGAAAATCTACCGTACAATCTAACTTCAACCATTAAACTATTTGAGCGGATCTTACTATCTGAGGAGAAATTCTATGATAGTTCAATTGGGAAAAAAAGCAGGGATGGGATGGGTCACAAGAACCATCGCTTCTTTAAATCAATTTAGGAAACAATTATTCACTTGGTTCAAAGCAATTTGTTTCATCCAATCAAAATTCAGCATATG